GCCTCAGCCTCCCGAGTAGCTGGGACCACAGGCACATCCCACCACACCTGGCTAATTTTTTTTTGTATTTTTAGTAGAGACGGGGTTTCACCGTGTTGGCCAGGATGGTCTTGATCTCTTGACCTCGTGATCCGCCCGCCTTGGCCTCCCAAAGTGCTGGGATTACAGGTGTGAGCCACCGCACCCGGCCTTTTTTTTTTTTTTTTTTGCCTTTGAGACAGAGTCTCCCTGTGTTGCCCAGGCTGGAATACAGTGGCGCGATCTTGGCTCACTGCAACCTCTGAGTCCTGGGTTCAAACGATTCTCCTTCCTCAGCCTCCCAAGTAACTGGGACTACAGGTGATCGCCACCACACCTGGCTAATTTTTGTATTTTTAGTAGAGATGGGGTTTCACCATTTTGGCCAGGATGGTCTCTATCTCCTGACATTGTGATTTGCCTGCCTCGGCCTCCCAAAGTGCTGGAATTACAGGCATGAGCCACTGTGCGTGGCCTATTCTTTACTATTTCAGCATAACCTGTGAGAAAGTTATCTTTGCATGGAATAAAATAGTAAGTCAATTAATAGATGAGTACAGACTGTTTTAAAAAGAACAGACTGTTTAAAGGTACTGTTTTCATCTCTACATTATCATTGAAAACAAACACTGCTTAGGGCAGTGGTTTTATGTGTGTATGTAGGTATGTTTTGATTAATTGATTGACAGAGTCTTTCTCTGTCACCCAGGCATGAGTGCAGTGGTGTGATCACAGCTCAATGCAGCCTCAACCTCCTGGGCTTACGTGATCCTCCTGCTTCAGCCACTTAAGGAGCTGGGACCACAGGCGTGCACCACCACAGCAAATTAATTTTTTTTGTTTTCACAGATAGGATCTCTCTGTGTTGCACAGGCTTGTGTCTCAAGTTCCTGGGCTCAAGCAACCCTCCTGCCTCAACCTCCCAAAATGCTGGGATTATAGGTGTAAGCCACCATGCCGAGCCGTTTGTGCTAGTTTAAAATAATTCCATTTTATCATTAACTCAGCCTCTTTCAGGCAACGCATGGTTAGACTTGAATACATTTAACTTTATTTACTAGAAAGTAAATTATTTATTTAAAAAATCACTATAATTAAGACTGCACGTGAGGGCTTTGACGTAACTTGCAAATGATTCATTAATAAATGAGTAACTGAGAGAGCCTGGCAGGTAGAGAACAAGGATTATTATAGTTTCTCAGAAGACATGGGACAATTTCAATAAAGAGGAAATGGTCAGTGAAATCAAATACACTGAGAAGTTAAAGTAAGTGAGAGTTGATAAAGATTTGTTTGATCTGATGAGAGAATTTTGACTTTTGAGAAAAAAATCAGTAGAATAAAGGAAATGGAGGTGGTTAGCAGTATTTAGGAGGGAGTAGAAGAGGTGGAGATGTGCCATTAGTTTTAGACTATTCTTTTGGGGAGGTGGGCCCTGAATGAAAGACAGAAAATCATAGGTACAGTGTAGAAACGTATACAATTACCTTGGTTGATGGAGATTTAAAGAGGATGGTAGGAGAATACTATGGGAGATAGGTTTAAAAAGGTTGCATCCCTCTGATTTAGATAATTATTAGCTTTGAACTTCTTAAGGATTGTTTTACTCCTCCAAACATTATTTTTAGTTCTTCAATAATTTATCATATCCTTAGAATCTAGGTTAAAAACACATTATAATTCATCTCAGTTTTAGGATTAGGCCACATTTGGCTTAGGTGTAAGACTTCATGAAAGGTTAAGAATTGGCATGAATGGCTCAAAAGTCAGAAGAAGGTATTAAAATGAAACAAAAGAACACGGCTATCTCGTGTGGATCCGATGGGCAGATGCATCTTTGCATTTAATTCAGAAGAATTTATTTAGAACTTCTCTATTGTCTGCTCTTCTCAGGGATGTAAGTTGACCTAGCATTTGCTAGCTTTAGAGATACCCCTGCCTTCCTGGTATTAATGGTTGAGTTTCAGCTTAGGCTACTTCTGAAGACCAGCTTTTAGTCTCTGCCCAGTATTCTGAATATTCCTAGCAAACTCATTTTCTGTCATCACGGGCAACAGCCAGGATTTTAGTGGCCACAAACTATGATGATTATGACTAGGAAGACTCACAAAATGTAATACCTGTTTCTGGAAAATAGTTGAGTGCCTAAGAACAGCTGATACCTGAGACGTAGAAGTTTCAAATGCTTAAAACTGTAGCTGATTAATATACTTGGTATGCTTTCAAGGATCAAAAATGAATTTTAAAATGAAATGTTAGAGAAGTTCTTTCTGGCTACTAATCTGTGAGGAATTACTGGGATCCCTTATTGGCCCGAGGAGGTAATGTATACTGAAATACAAGGCTTCTCTTGGCAGTCAGGGATAACCCTAAGCAAATTGTGCAGGAATGGCATTTCTAGAAGTACATACAGTTTTCTTCTCTGTGACCTGTTCTCAGAAAAGAATCTCATTAGTTTATTCACATTAAGGACTATAATTAGAATTGTATTTTTATGGGGCTTAACATGTTTAAGGACGTTTGCTGTTTACCCGAGGCAGCAGCTTTCATTAAAATTTATTGACCCCCTACTTTGTTTAGGTCGCTCTGGTGATACGAGGTTTCTGTTCAACAATTAAGAAATCCTCTACTGGGTGCAGTGGCTCTCGCCTGCAATCCCAGCACTTTGGGAGGCCGAAGTGGGTAGATCATGAGGTCAGGAGTTCAAGACCAATCTGACCAATATGGTGAAACCCCGTCTCACTAAAAATACAAAAACATGAGCCAGGCATGGTGGTGCAATCTGTAGTCCCAGCTACTCAGGAGGCTAAGGCAGGAGAATTGCTTGAACCCAGGAGGCAAAGATTGTGGTGAGCAGAGATCATGCCACTGTACTCCAGACTGGATGACAGAGTGAGACTCAGTCTCAAAAAAAAAAAAAAAAAAGGTGGGGTGGTGGTGGTGGTGGAAGTCCTCCTTACCTTGTAGAGTTCATATTCTCATTGTCAAAGTTATAACATTCTAATTATGGAACTCTAGGAGGCATTGAGCCAGATAAGGAAAGCATTTTAGGTATCAGATTCTTGAAATTCCTTTCAGGAAGCAACCATTTATTTTACTTACGGTAAGACTTACCCTGAAGACAGTTGATCCTCATTAAATGGAAATGTTTGAATGCTTTATAAAATTGTTTATGTAAATTTAAGGTGAGCAGAGAAACTAATAATATATCTCAAGTCAAGTTTTGCTACTTATATTCTCTCTGCCCAGATTAGCAAACCCACTGTTTAGACTGCTGTATGTTTAAGTGGTTTTTTTGTTTGTTTTTATTTTTATTTATTTGTTTTTGAGACGGAGTATCGCTGTATCTCATCAGGCTGGACTGCAGTGGCGCCATCTTGGCTCACTGCAACTTCCACCTCCCGGATTCAAGTGATTCTCCTGCCTCAGTTTCCCAAGTAGCTGGGGATTATAGGCACCTACCCCACGCCTGGCTAATTGTTCTGTATTTTTAGTAGAGACGGGGTTCCACCATATTGGCCAGGCTGGTCTCGAACTCCTGACTTCAGGTGATTCACCCGCTTAAGCCTCCCAAAGTTCTGGGATTACAGGTGTGAGCCACAGTGCCTGGCCTTAAATGTTTATTTTGGTTTCAGGTAGCTAGAGTCTTACTGTTTTTTTTTTTTTTTTTTTTTTTTTTTTTAAATAGCCAATGTTACTATTTATAATGTTGCCATTCAGTATTATTTGAATTCTCAGGATATTGGTTTGTTAATTTGTAAAGCATTTTTATACTTTTAAATTAGTGACTAAGAGTCCTGTCCCCCACCCCTTGGGCCCCCAGCAGAGGTCACTTGGAAGGCAGGACTGGTAGGTCCTGTTAGCTAAATCTCTGCCCTCTGTATCCTCTAGCAATCCTCCCTGAAATGGTTTTACCCTTTTAATATGATGGATGTCTTTGATTCAAAGGAATGTTTGAGAAAAATGAAGAGTCTTGTCAGATAAAAGTACTTAATATATAAGAGTTTCTGACTGGAGAAGTATTTATTTATTTATTGTTGCCCAGGCCGGAGTGCAATGGTGTGATCTCAGCTGTCTACAACCTTTGCCTCCCAGGTTCAAGCCATTCTCCTGCCTAAGCCTTCCAAGTAGCTGGAATACAGGCACCTGACACCATGCCCAGCTGATTTTTTGTATTTTTAGTAGACACAGGGTTTCACCATGTTGACCAGGCTGGTCTTGAACTCCTGACCTTGGGTGATCCACTGCCTCGGCCTCCTAAAGTGCTGGGATTACAGGCATGAACATGGGATTACAGGGCATGGTAATGCCCTGCTGGAAGTTTGTTTTTTTGGACAAGCCATAGTTTTTGTCCTCCGGGATATATCACTGTCTCCTTTTTTTTTTTTGAGACAGAGTCTCACTCTGTCACCAGGCTGGAGTGCAGTGTTGTGATCTTGGCTTACTGCAACCTCCTCCTTCCGGGTTCAATTGATTCTCCTGCCTCAGCCTCCCAAGTTGCTGGGACTACAGGCGTGTACCACCATGCCCAGCTAATTTTTGTATTTTTAGTAGAGACGGGGTTTCACCATGTTGGCCAGGTTGGTCTCAATCTCTTGACTTCGTGATCCACCCACCTCAGCCTCCCAAAGTGCTGGGTTTACAGGCATGAGCCACTGCGTCTGTCCCACTGTCTACTTTTTAAAGCTCTGTTTATTTGAATACAAGAAAAAAGATCTTGCTATTTTAGGTAAGCTGTGATATGATTTTGGCTCAGCCGTGGCTTTGTAAGTAATGTCCACCATTGATCTGACACACTTTTTTGTGGCTTAGAATTGGATATCCTAAGTTGACTCTCCATTGTAAAGAAAAAAAGGGCTGGGACTGTTTTTAAAACAAAGATCTTTTTGTGAGTTACCATTTTCTTTTTTCTCCCTATGTTTTGTTTTGTTTAAAGTGCCTGCTTGCTATTTTAACATATTATTTTTCTGTTTCTTTTTCAGATGATTCTTGGAGAAACCCTGTCTGTTTACTGTAACCTTTTGCACTCAAATTCCTTTATCAGGAATAACTACATAGCCACTATTTACAAAGCCATTGGAACCTTTTTATTTGGTGCAGCTGCTAGTCAGTCCCTGACTGACATTGCCAAGTATTCAATAGGCAGACTGCGGCCTCACTTCTTGGATGTTTGTGACCCAGATTGGTCAAAAATCAACTGCAGTGATGGTTACATTGAAAACTACGTATGTCGAGGGAATGCAGAAAAAGTTAAGGAAGGCAGGTGAGTATGAAGTCTCTAATACTTGTTTTATCTTGTATATTCTTGAAATAGAAGGTTTCAGTGACTGGAAGATAAGCCATGCACTAGCTTGAAAAGAGAAGTTACTGTTATCACTGGGAAGTGAATTTTGATCTTGTTCGAATTGTTCTTTCTCCTCATGCCTTTTTCATTTTTTATTGCTGTTTTCCATTTAAGAGCATTTTACTGCAGCTCTTCTTTTCATCACCAGTGTAAAAAAATGTTAAATGAACCTTACAGATCATTTAGCCCAGAGTCAGCAAACTTTAAGATGTCAGATAGTAAATATATATTTTAACATTTTTATATTATTAATATTATTTTATAGAGACTGGGTCTCACTATGTTGCCCAGGCTGATGTCAGACTCCTGGGCTCAAGTGATCCTCCCACCTTGGCCTCTCCAAAGTGCTGGGATTACAGGCATGAGCCACCACGTCCAGCCAATAGTAAATATTTTAGGCCCTGTGGGCCACATGTTCTTCTCTTCATAACTGTGGAACTCTGCTGTTAATGGCAAGAAAGGAGCCATAGACAATACTTAAACAAATAATGTGGCTATGCTCCAATAAACTTTACAAAAGCAGTGGCTGCCCCAAGGGTCATAGTTTGCTGAACCCTGATCTAGTCCCACCATTATTTATGAAGCTCTGCTAGATCTTAGTATTCTTAGGTTATTATTATTATTTTTAGATCTTTTTAAATAAGGTAACTTGATTCAGATTGTTACAGATCTAGGTCATCAGGTTGCCATCTTATAACACCCTTACTGGGCTCCTTTCTGCATGCTGGGGCACTATTAGACATGAATGAAATAGAATGTTTGGAGCTCAGAAGACACAACTTTTTAAATGTATAGATGAGGAAAAAATAGAGGCCCAAGAAGACTAAGTAAAGCCACTAATTAGTAGCAGAGGCAATTCCTCATCTCAAGTTTCAGAATTGTCAGCCTTATCTTTTTACATATTAAGTTTAATTTCCTTTAGTTGTTCAATGTACAGATACTTTCTTTGATTACAAATAGTTTGTTTGATTTTTTTAAGATATGATTTCCAAATACTTCATTGTTTTTGTTGGTTTTCTTGGAAGCAACATAGGCCTGCTAGTAGCTTCAATTTTTTGTACTTAGTGGGGATAAAAAAATCTTATTTAACTAGAGTATATACTATGCTATTTGCTAGGGATTTAGCAGTGAAGAAGACATCTCTGGTCCCATCTTCATGGACCTTAGTCTAGCAGGGAAGATCTACATTAAACAAATGATGAGAATGGAAGAGAACTTGCTTGTTGATAATGAGGTCAAAGAACAGGAAGATCAAGCTGTTAAATGGCAAGCTTTGAGGTGGTGAGGAGGACTGATGTGGGTGTAAAGTCTTAATGAAGGAGGGGAAAGTGACTGAAGAAATAGACAGTTGAGAAATAGATGGTAGAAGGTGATATTGTTGATTTGAGCTCAGGTGAACAGGCATTTTTATAAGAGGGCTAGAGAAAGAATGGTCCAGAAATGGCTTTGAGGAATGATGAAGACACCAAGGTCAATACTGGAACCTTAAGGTGTGTGGGCTGTGGAGATCTAATTCCCTGCAGGGCCCAGCAGTGTCCTAGGGAAAGGCTCTTTAACTGGATGACTAGGAGGTGCAGTGAGCCTTCAGGGATGAGTTTGGAGACACAGGAAAAGATAGAGGACTTTAACAGTAGAGCCGGAATTCCGGAGTGTTCAGTGGAGGAGTAGGAACAGAGGGGATGAACAAATGGCTTAGGTGGAGAAGAGAAAGCTTTTTGAAAGTGAGACTGAAATTCAGAACAAATTACAAAGAAGAACAAATAGCTGAGTAAAAACATACCATGTGAAACAAAATCTGATACAAGCTTATCCAACCTGCAGCCCACATGTGGCCCAGGATGGCTTTGAATGCAGCCCAAAACAAATTTATAAACTTTCTTAAAACATTGTGATTTTTTTGTTTGTTTATTATCAGCTATTGTTAATATATTTTATGTGTGGCTGAAGATAATTATTCTTCTTCCAGTATGGCCCAGGGAAGACAAAAGATTAGACACCCAATCTAATAGAATAAAATTATCATGATTTCTTCTTCCATCTATAACTTAACCATCTAGCCTTTAAAAAATACCATACAGCCAGGCATGGTGGCTCATGTCGGTAATCCCAGCACTTTGGGAGATCAGGAGATCAAGACCATCTGGCCAACATGGTGAAACCCCATCTCTACTGAAAATACAAAAATTAGTTGGGCATGGTGGCATGCACCTGTAATCTCAGCTACTCGGGAGGCTGAGGCAGGAGAATTGCTTGAACCAGGAGGCAGAGGCTGCAGTGAGCCAAGATCGTGCCACTGCACTCCAGCCTGCGTGACAGAGTGAGACTCTGTCTCAAAAAAGCAAACAAACAAAAAACCAATCATACATATTTATGAATGCAATGATAAAACCAGCTATGGGATTACGGCTGGTGTGGTGGCTCATGCCTGTAATCCCAGCACTTTGGGAGGCGGAGGCGGGCTGATCACTTGAGGTCAGAAGTTCAAGAGCAGCCTGCCCAACATGGTGAAACCGAGTCTCTACTAAAAATACAAAAAGTAGCCGGGCATGATGGCCACACACCTGTAATCCCAACTACTCGGAAGGCTGAGGCGGGAGAATCACTTGAACCCAGGAGCCGGAGGTTGCAGTGAGCAGAGCCTGGGCGACAGGGTGCAATTCCATCAAAAAACAAAACAAAACCAAAAAAACACTTGTAGGATTTAAATTACAAAGGAAAAAATAAAATAGATACTAGTTGAACTACTCTTTTAAATAGCTTTATTAAGGTGTAATTCAGATCACATAAAATTTGCCCATTTTAAGTGTACAAGTGAATAAATTATATGTGTAAAGTTATTTACCATGACAATTAAGTTTTCAGATATTTGAAAAGCTTGTCCCTGTGTGTTTACAGTCAATTCACACTCCCATGTTGATCCAACCCCAGGATCAAGTTTGTCCTTAGAGTTTTATATTTTCTAGAATATTATATAAAAGGAATCTTACAATGAGTACTCTGTTGTGTCTGCCTTCTTACACTTAACATACTGGTTTTGCAGTTCATCCATGTTCCTTTTTCTCCCCCTGAGGGATATTAGACTGTATGGATATAACACAGTTTACTTATTCATTCATGCAAATATTGATGGATATTTGAGTTGTCTCCAAGTTTTGGCTATTAAAAATAAAGCTGTTCTGGCCAGGTGCGGTGGATCACACCTGTAATGCCGGCACTTTGGGAGGCCAAGGCAGGGTGGATCACTTGAGGTCAGGATTTCAAGACCAACCTGGCCAACATGGTGAAACCCCATCTCTACTAAAAATACAGAAATTAGCCAGGTGTGGTGGTGCACTCCTGTAATTCCAGTTACGTGGGAGGCTGAAAGCTGAGGCACAAGAATTGCTTGAACCTGAGAAGTGGAAGTTGCAGTTAGCCCAAATCATGCCAGCCTGGGTGACAGACTCTGTCTCAAAAAAAAAAAAAAAAAAAAAAAAAGCTATTCTGAACATTTGTGTACCAGTACATTTCTCTTGAACAAATAATCTAGAAGTAAAAGTGCTGTACTATATAGCATGTGTGTAGTTACCATTCTAAGAAGCTGCTGGTTTTTTACACAGTGGTTGTACCATTTTGCATTCTCTCCAGCAATGTATGAGAGTCCCAGTTAACTATCTCCTTGCCATTATTTATTAATAGCCAGTCTTTGTTATTTCAGCCATTCTAGAGGTTTTTGTTATGATATCTCAGTGAGGTTTTAATTTTTATTTCCTTAATGACCAGTGTTGCTGAACATCTTTTCATATATTTCTTGTCCATTCAGATATTGTCATTTTTGAAATGTTAACTCTTTTACCCATTTAAAAAAAATGGCTTGCTTGTGTGAGTTGTAAGAGTTCTTTATATATTCTGAATAAAAGTCCTTTGTTAGATATATGTTTTGAAAATATTTTCTCTCAATCTGTGGCTTACTATTCATTTTCTTATTTATTTAATTTTAATTTATTTTAGAGACAGGGTCTCACTTTGTTGCCCAGGCTGTTTTTGAACTCTTGTGCTCAAGTGATCCTCTTGCCTCGGCCTTTCACAGTCAAAATGCTGGGATTATAAGCATGAGACACCATACCCAATCAACTTTTTTCCTTTTTTTTTGAGACCAAGTCTCACTTTGTTGCCCAGGCTGGAGTGCAGTGGCACAATCTTAGCTCACTGCAACATCGTGCCTCAGCCTCTGGAGTAGCTGGGATTACAGGTGTGTGCCACCATTCCCAGCTAATTTTTGTATTTTTAGTAGAGACGGGTTTCACCAGGTTGGCCAAGCTGATCTTGAACTCCTGACCTCATGTGAACTGCCTGCCTCGGACTCCCAAAGTGTGATTATAGGCGTGAGCCACTTTGCCTGGCCTAACTTTTTATTTTGTTTGCTTTTTTTCTTTTTATTTTACTGTAAGTTCTAGGATACATGTGCAGAATGTGCAGGTTTGTTACATAGGTGTATGTGTGCCGTGGTGGTTTGCTGCACCTGTCAACCCATCATCTAGGTTTTAAGCCCTGAATGCATTAGGTATTTGTTCAAATGCTCTCCCTCCCCTTTCCCGCGACCCCCTGACAGACCCCTATGTGTATGATGTTCCCTTCCCTCTGTCCATGTGTTGTTATCATGTTCACCTCCCACTTGTAAATAGAACATGCAGTGTTTGGTTTTCTGTTCCTGTGTTAGTTTGCTGAGAATGATGGCTTCCAGCTTCATCCATGTCCCTACAAAATACATGAACTCATTCTTTTTTATGGCTGCTTTATTTTCTTAATGGTGGTTTTTGAAGCTTAGAAGTTTTAAATTTGATGGAATCTAATTTATTTTTATTTTTTTATGGTTTGTGCTTTCTGTGTCCTAAGAAATCTTTGCTTGCCTGAAGGTTCCAAATTTTTTTTCTTATTTT